GAAAATTGCTTCCCCTTGTCCAGATGAAGCCAGCAGAAGTCACAAGTGGGCCTTTGGTGACCTGGGCCACCGTCCCCATCAGCCTGGTTCTGGCTGTGGGGGCTGCAGGATTTTAAGGCCCTGCCAGCCTGAGGCCCTGTCTCCTCCCATGAGAGGCCGTGAGGCAGGTGTCTTCACAGCGCCCCTTCACCCACTCACCCACACATCCGCTCGTGCATCCATCCAACAAGCTATTATTAGTCACCTGCTATGTGCCAAGTCCCTGGGGCTAGAACCCAGATCTGGGGCAAAGGTACAGCCCTAAGCTGAGCCTGTGGGGCAGGGATCCTGGCAGGTGGACTGGGGTCACCCCCATTGTGCCCGCTTCCTGAGCTGGAGCTCATACAGGCAGGCGGCCCAGCCTGGGGTGTGCATGTCCTAACAGTGAGGCGGTGGCCAGGCTGGCACAGGGCCTTTCCGCTCAGGAAGAGGGTCCCGCGGTGTGCGCCGTGTCCTTTCTGCTTTTCCTAGGTGAGGAGCAGACCAGCAAGGCAAGCACAGGGTGGCTTCAGCAGGGGTGGCCGGACCCTGGAATGGTCCACTTGGCCACTTCAGCGCCCTGGGCACCCTACCCTACGCCCACTGGCCCCGGGCTGGACCTGGGGTTTTCACCCCATCCCCACATACCCCAGCACTGCTCTCTCCTCCTCCCACGGTGTTTCCCTCCCTGCCTGTGCCCTGGTTGAAGACTGAACCATGCTGGAGCTCTGCTTGGCTAAGAAATGTTTGTGGAATATCTGACCAAAAGGCTGCCGCAGCCACCCTGGAGGCCAGACCAGGTGACATGTTTATGGTGCAGATGAGACACTGGGGCTCAGAGAGGCCACAGAGCTTGCCAAGGGCACTCAGTGGCTGAGGAAGGGGCCAGGTCCTGCCCACTCCAGACCTGGCGGTGACGAGGTGCGAGGGTGGATCCCTGTCCTGGTTTGCACACTCACCGTGCAGGCAGGTGTCTGCAGTGGGGCTGGCATGGGCTGACCTTGGTCTCCCTGGCGCTGACTGCTGAGCTCGCCTTTGGGGTTAGCAGGGCTAACTGCCTCCCCGTCACAGCGGCTCAAGGCTGGGCTCTGGGCAGAAGTCCTGGTGTCTCTCGGGGTCTCTGATGTCCTTCCTTCCAGGTGGAGGTTTCAGGTCTGTTAATGGTGACTCTCTCTTCAGACCCGTACTCTGCGTTAGCAGTTCTGGGGGCACCAGTGCCACCTGCCGCCCCAAGGGTCCCTACTCCAGGTTTCACCCCACTGAGGAGGGTGTTCCCTGCAGGAAGCAGGGACCTGAGGTCTCTGCTCCACTCCTGGCCTGGGCATAGTGCCAGGGCCTGACCTTCATGGGGCCTTGTGGCTCCTGGCAGGGACTGAGTAGATGGGGCCGGGACAGGCAGACGCCTGTGGCCGGTGTGTGGGACCCATGGGGACAAACAGGCTCTCTGGGTGAATAGACCTGAGCCAAGAGCCAGAGATGCCTCACCGTCCCTGGGGATTTCTGGACTCCAGTTCTGGCTTCCGTTGCCCTTCTCGTCCCATCCTTCTTCCCAGTGGCGACTCTGTGGGGCAGGGTCCACAGCCCACCCCAACCAGGGAGGGTTTTCTCCCTTCCTCTCCTGCCAACAGGGAGCTCGGTCCAGCCTGGGAGAGCCTTTCTGGGTGGGGGGACAACAGAGTGAGTGCATTTTGAGAAGCAGGAGCCTTCTGCAGGTCGAGAGGCTTGTCACGAAGTCCCGGGTCTGCCCTGCCCGGCTGCAGAGCTGAGCCCCAGCCTCCCAGCGGAGGTTGTACCCAAGAGCTGGGGCACCCAGCAGGGTCTGGGCCCGGCTTGGGTCCCGTGGGTGTGCCCGGCCCGCTGGCTTCTCTGAGCCCTGGCTTTGCGGCCGCACGGGGCTGTGGCAGCTGCACCGAGGGAGAAGTGGCTGCTGGAGCCCCTGGGGATTCCACCCCAGCCACCATGGAAGACCCTTCAGCCATTGTCTCTGCCCAAAGGCCTCTGGCAGCTTGGGGTCCCAGGCCAGGGGGTCCCCACCAGGCAGCAGCTCCGAGCCAGAGAAAGAGCCGGGTGGGGACTCTGGGAGGGTGGGCCTTGGGGACTCACAACAGCTCCAGACTGCTGCAGGAGTGGGAGAAGCAGCAGTTTCTCAAGAAGAGCGAAAGGGCTTGGACCGCAGCCTCCGCTTCCTCTTCTGGAGAAAAGCCGAAGCTCAGCGGTGCTAGCTGCTAATTCTGCAGCCTCTGTCCCTGGAGTCTGCAGCAGAGGCCTGGAGCTTTGAGCAGGCGACAGCAGGTGGCCCCTGAGGCTCTGGGTGGAAAGTGGGGTTGGGGGAGGAGGGTGGACAGTTCAGGGAAAGGGCTCAGGTTCTTGATGCCACCGAACTTCTAGTCTGAGCCGGAACACTTTTGAGAATGAAAGTGAGCTGTGTTAATTATGACACCGGGACAACAGATGTAAACCGGGACTCTCAGGGCAAGTCGAGATGTGTGTTACCCTACTTACCACCGCTTCCTAGCTGCGTGGATTTGGGCAAGTTACGTAACCTCTCTGAATTCTGGTTTCTGCATAAAAAAGGCCAACATCCTGTGCCTGCCTCCCAGGGCTGCGGGAGGGATGGAAGTAATCAATTTCCTGGGTTCCCGGAACAGCCCTTAGCACAGGGGGGCTCTCCGTGCTTGTTCTGTTCTGAGAGTGGTGGGTTCCCTGTTCCCGGAGGTGAGCAAGGGCCTGCCTGCCGGCATTCTGCAACGTGAAGGCCTCAGCAGGGTGTGTGTGGAGCTGCAGAGTCAGAGTCCAATCGGGCCTGTGCCCTTCCAATGGGTGACAGTGAGTGTGGGAGAGTCAGGCCTTCCTGTACCTCGGGGAGGACAAGTCCATGATGAGTCCCAGGCTGGCCTTCCCTGGTGGTCTCGTGCCCTCTTCTGCCCCAGGTGGAGGTGATTTGTGCCCATGGAGGGCTGCCAGCAGGGCCCAGCCCAGAGAAACTTTGCTGTCACCACGGATCTGTCCTTGGCTTCAATGCCTTGGCATTGGTTCAGGGCAAGTTTGCCTGCTTCGTCCCTCCTGGGGTCGTGCTTGGCAAATGCAGAGCCTTCCCTGGGGGGTCCGGGAGGGCTGGAGGGTGAGCTGGAGGAAGGAGGCTGCTTGCATTTTCTGTGTCTGCTCTCGGGTCGAGAAACTGAACAGAGCCTATTCCAACCTAGAATGTTTTCAAGAGCTGGGTGTGGGCCTGGCTCTGCTGCTTGTGGTCATTTCAGCTTAGGCAAGTCAGAGGTCTCCAGGCCTCAGGTTCCTTGTTGGGAGGCAGGGGTGAGCCACCATTAGCTCTTCCCAGGACACAGGGAAGGGCTGTGGGTACGGTGGACCCCACATGGGCTCTGTGCTCCGCCTTTAGGCTCCACGCACGTTACCTTCCTCTGTTCCCCCACGGCCTTGGGAACCCCTGGAGGCAGAGCTTGAAACCTTGAGGGCTGAGCTCCATCTCCAGAAGGAACAAGGGGACGTGGTCAGAGCCCAGCACTGACGTGTCTGCACCAGAATCCACCCCCACCACCCAGGCCAGAGCTGCTGCAGCAGGTGGAATGATGCCTCCCACCAGATGCCCTGGCTGGACGAGCCACTCTCCAAGGTGGCCTCACGCTGGGGACATTACCCCAGGGGTCTCCGCTTCTGGCTACTTGGTCTCCTTTCCACTCCCCACTGCCAGAGAAGGTTCTTCTGGTCAGAAGGACGGCCTCTGAAAATGTCAGATCCGGAAGGCATCTGAGCTGATGGCATACAGCCCTCAGCAAACTCGCCTGGCCAGTCCCTGCCATTAAATGCAAAGCCAAAGCCACAGGCGGCAGTTGAGGCTCGCAGGCAGACGAGGAGGCAGGAAGTGGGTGTGCTGCCACAAGTGTGGGTCTCTCTCAGCACTGAGTCCCCAGGCGGAGTCCACGCGGCTTCCAATCAACCTCCTCCTCACACCTGTGGCAGAGGCAGGGTCTCCCCAGCTATACCCTCCTGAGTGACATCACAGGTAACACCACACAAAGGGCAGACCAACGTGTGGTGTTTCGAGACCTATGCCACTTCCTTGCTGTGTGGGAACCAGGCAGAGGTGACCTACAGCTGAGAAACACATGATTCCAAAAACAGGGCCACTGGAGTTCAGGAAACAGAGGCCAAAATCCTACCTAAGATGCTGGGGCCACTTGGCCCATTATGGAGGATCTTGAGAGGTGAGGCCACCGCAGTGCCAAAGGACTACAGGGACGGTCACATGCTCCCACCCAAACCACCTGTCAATCACTCTCGCGCCAACCCCAAATACTGGGATATTATCCAGTGTGGATAATTTGTAGGCAAAAAAAAATGCTTTCACATGGTTTTATCTTATTTTTATTCAGGGAGATTGACCATTTTCACATATTTGCAGAGGATGTGTATTCCTCCCGCTCAGTTACCCAGGCTGGAGTGCAGTGGTACGATCTCGGCTCACCGCAACCTCCGCCTCCTGGGTTCAAACCATTCTCCTGCCTCAGCCTCCTGAGTAGCTGGGATTACAGGTATGTGCCACCACACCCCGCTAACTTTTGTAGTTTTAGTAGAGACGGGGTTTCACGTTGGTCAGGCTGGTCTTGAACTCCTGACCTCGTGAGCCGCCACGCCCGGCCGTGGGCACGCGTATTTCTTCTTCTGAGACTAGCCTGTTTGCATCCTTCGTCCGCCTGTCCACTGGGATGTTTCCGGCTGGTTCACAGGTGTTTGGTAGATCATGGATACTACTCATTTGTAATACATTTTCTTCTCTTCTCCCTGTCATCTGTCGTTGAATTTTGCTTGTGTTGTCTTGAGTTTCACACGGGCCCACGGGTGGCTCTTCCTTTGGCTTCTGGGTTTCATGCTATGCTCAGAATCTCTCGCATGGAGATGATTCAGCTGCTGCCTCAGACGTTCTGAGAAACAACGGCCACAACACTTGCGGTGGCAGGAAAACATGCTTGTTCAAAAAAAAGTGTTTATTTTAAAAATAAGATCACCCCCAGCATTTATTTAAATATTAATAGAGACGAGTAAAAATTTCAAGTGGTGTAACAAGAATAACAGCTTTCTAGTCACAGATGGTCAGATGCTGACAAACAAGAAAGGGGTCTCTGTACATTGCGATTCGGTTGTTATGCGAATGCATACGAAGGCTTCAGAAACGGTCTATTTATAGGCTTCGGTGGAGCCATCATCCCCAATTTTCTATTGGCTCCTGATGTCGCTTGAGAAGCATGCGAGGCTGAACTGGATCCAGTGATGCTGGATTTCGTTTTGGAAGCTATCTTTCTCCATGTGGCAGACCCCCTGAAATGTGACAGAGAGAAAAGGAAAATGTTCAATTAAACCAAAAGTGAATGACCTTCCTCTCTACCTGCACAGCGCCATAACAGGACTTCCCTCCTGCATTTTCTGCCTACACACCCTCCAGATAAGGTAAGTTTCCTTTACCAAAGGAATACAGAACCGCTGCCCTTCACACAAATTTGTCCTGAATTTTTCTTTCTGAAATGTTAAGGACTGTTTCTTAATTTTCTAACTTGTGACCAACCCACCGCCCTCTCTCCACCCACACCTTCCCCGGCCTACACCCAGAGAAGCGGAGGTTCACGTGCCCTTATCTATTCCGACCAGATTGAGAGAGTGAAACACCTTGTCGGAAGGCCCCAGCTCCCTGCTGACAGGAGCCCCAGAGTGACTGGACTTGCACAGTCCAGGGCAAGGCAGCTGTGGGGTGGAGCTGGGTGGCCAGGAGGGGCAGAGCTGGGGGTCTTCCTGGCTCGCCCCAGGAAGGCTGCAGATGCGGCTTCCAGGGGAGGACAGAGCTGCCTCATCCCAGGGTCTGGCCTGTCTGTCAGGGCCGTGTCCAGAAGCTCCCTGGCTCACCTGCCTACACCCAGAGATCTGTCAGCTCTCCCTCCTACTCACTGCCTTCTAAAGCCAAGGAAGACGCCGCCACAGCCGATTACGAAGTCCTTCCCGCATCACTTTTCTTGCAGACCTTAAGATAACAGCTCCCTTCCCACCCCTAAATGAAATAAAAAACAAAGCAAACTGCGGGGCGGCATGTTCACAGTGAGGACTGCGGGCAGCACTACCTACAGAAGCCGCTCCCGCTGCTTTGTAACCAGGCTGAAGTCAGGCCCAACACGAATTCCTTGGCACCTGGGCATGCAAGTAGCCTCCCGTCTGAATGGGGGGTACAGAGTATCAGGGCCACAGCCTGTGGGGGGTGACATTTCGGTGGGGCTCCATGACTTAAACTCTGGCTCCAGGGCAATTTTACTACAGAACTGGCAAAGATCTGCTAAACTGGCAGAGAGGCAGCCTGAAGTTTCCCTCTGCTGATTTCCTGCTGAGAAATTAAGCCCAGAGTGAAAACCTGCTGTTTATGTTGATTTACAGAATGAATCTGCCAACGGCAGCCTCCATTTCACCTGGGCCATCCATTTACTCCCACTCAGAGAGCCCAGAGCACAACTGGTTCATTGTGTGTGGTTCTGAAGATGTAAAACTCTGAGGGTAGGGTGGGGAAGTGAGGTTGCTGGCCAAGAGCCACATTTATTCTTTCATTGCACAGGGACTCTCAATCGGGGGAGCAGACTGGGTCAGTGGAAAGGAGAGTGGAGCACAAAGAGGCTGCTCCAAGGGTGGAGCAAAGTCACACAGCACACTGGCTTTGGCTGGCAGTGCTTAAAAAAGAATCCCACCTTGGCCGGATGCGGTGGCTCACGCCTGTAATCCCAGCACTTCGGGAGGCCAAGGCAGATGGATCACCTGAGGTCAGGAGTTTGAGATCAGCCTGGCCATCACAGTGAAACCTCATCTCTACTACAAATACAAAAATCAGCCAGGTGCAGTGGTGGGCACCTGTAATCCCAGCTACTTGGGAGGCCGAGGCAGGAGAATCGCTTGAACCCAGGAGGCAGAGGTTGCAGTGAGCCGAGTTCACACCACTGCACTCTAGCCTGGGGGACAGAGCGAGACTCCATCTCAACAAAAACAAGAAATCCCAAACACCAGGCTCATTGAAAACAAGCATGGAAATTGGTACTGGCTTTTGCACGAGTGTGAGCTTTAATGCTTATCAGATTAGGTTCCAGGTGATGCTGCAAAGCGCTTTACTCTTACAAACAAAAGTTATGAAAATTAAATAAGGGAGCCAACAGCAGTGAACACTGGAATATGGTTTGCTCTGTTCTAATACATGAGATGGGAGACCATGCATTTTTAGGACTCTCCACAGGCCCCGTGCAGAAGCGAGCGTGCTCCGGGCAGGTGTGGGCAGGTCAGCGTCCGCTTCTACCTTGGGAACTGAGAGCAGGCAGGGCTGGCCTTTGGTAAGCTCTACCCAGGCCAGGCCGCAGCTGCCTCTTCACAAGCCCGGTGTGTTGAGCCAGATGCCTTTTAAGGTCTCCAGCTTTGTGTGGGCTATTGAGGAAATAAGTATTTCCCAAAGCGGAGGAATAAATAACGGAAATAAGAAAATGTCCTCACTCAAGAACATTTACTGATCACTTGCTCCTAAAAATCACAAAATTAAACAAACGTTTTCTAATGCCCTTAGTTTCTGTGCTCTGGCAGAAGGATTAGCACGTCCAAGATGTTTGTTTATGGGCTTAACAAGAAAATGGCAATTTGGTAATGTCTGCTTTCCCTTCTCTTCCCCCACTCCGTTTTTGTTTTTTATTACCCAGAAGGACAAGAGGTAGAAAAACTGCAAGAGAAAACACAACAGCTTGCAAAAGTTGACTGTGGACTTTTTTTTTTTTTTGGTTTCTTTTTTCTGCAAGCAATTCTGTTACAGTATGTGGTTACTTTGGGGCCACATTCTCAAGGCTGACGGGAGGGTCTCCATCCTGCCAGGCCTTACCAGCTAGCCAGAGGCAGGGGGTGACCTGGCAGAAAACCAAAAAGGGGCTGCCGGAAACAATGCAGTTATGAAGAAAGAAGAACACTGCCAAGATCATTACACAGATCAGAGCATGCTATCTTTGTTGTCCCCTGCTGTGCAGAAAGCACTCAGAACAGACATGTCCCGGAGAAGCAGGCCAGGCCAACGTGGGACGGGGAGACAGAAGCCATTTATGCAGCCCCTAAAAAGGGCTGGCTGGACTCAACTTTCGTTTTTCTGCTGTGGCTTCTTCTTGCTACTGCTGCAAAGGCTAGGAGGTCGGCTCTCCCAGGTGTTAATGAAACGTGGGGGGTGGGCTCGGCCTCCAGGTGGAGACCCAGTGATTCTGCAGCAATAAAAGCAGTGGAGCAGGTGCTGACAGAATCACAAAAGCCACGAGGACACGAAACCCTTTGTTATTTATTCAGCTGGTGCATGATTTATAGTACTTTAGGCAGAAAAGCCTCTTGAGAAGAGCAGTCATCCCAAACAAGCAAACAAATATCTAAGGGAAGATCAACATGGAAGACATCTTTTGCAAACAAGAAACATTAGGTAGGCTGGGTGTGGTGGCTCAGGCAGGTAATCCCAGCACTCTGGGGTGACCAAAGTGGGCCGATCGCTTGAGCTCAGGACTTTGACACCAGCCTGGGCAACGTGGTGAAATCCTGTCTGTACAAACAAAATACATAAATCAGCCAGCGTGATGGTGTATGTCTGCCTTCCCAGCTACGCAGGAGGCTGAGGTGGGAGGATCACTTGAGTCTGGGAGGCAGCGGTTGCAGTGAGCCGAGATTGCCACTGCACTCTAGCCTGGGTGACAGAACCAGACCTTGTCTCCAAATAAAAAAAAGAAGGAAAGAAAACTTTAGTCACAACCAATTATTAGTCAGTAGATGTTTTTTTTTTTTTTTGAGACGGAGTTTCGCTCTTGTTACCCAGGCTGGAGTGCAATGGCGCGATCTCGGCTCACCGCAACCTCCGCCTCCTGGGTTCAGGCAATTCTCCTGCCTCAGCCTCCTGAGTAGCT